AAGTTTTTTTAATAATATAAAAATAATTAAAAATTAAAAATTTTAGCTTTTATAAAGAAAATACTTTTATTAAAAAAATCTCAAAACTTTAATCTAATTAATATAATTTTTTTTTGATTTTACTTAAAAAATATTATAAATTTTATTATAAAAATATTATTGGTTTAATAACTAATTTTTAATATATTTAAAATTAACTTTAAAGTATAAGTATAAATTTGAAAGGAAACTATTGAAGGGATAAAAAAAAATGATTATATATATATTAAACATTAATTTAATATAAAATTATAATAGATTAAAGAATTTATCATTTAATATTGTATAAATATATTTTAATATTGTTTTTTAATAAATATTTTTATTTAAAGTATTTTTAGAGGCTGAAACTGGTTTTATTTTTATAAACTAGTTTTAAACTTTTTTTAATTTGAAATTTTAATTTAAACTAAATTATTATAAAACTGACTTAATTAGATATTCAATAGTAATAAAACTAAAAACTAAATTGTAATTAATTTTATTATTGCAAATTTATAAAAATCTTACAAATAATGCAAAATCTTTCAAAAGACAAATTTGTAGGAATAAGTTATAAGGATCTAAATATAAAGTATAATTTAAAAAATTATAAAAATTAAATTATCTAAATAATAAATTTCTTTTATAAAACTTTTTAAATAAAAATAATTTAATTTTTTACTATTATTATCAAAATTATATCAATATCTAATATTAACATAAATATCATATTTTGGAATTTAATTTTAATACATAAAATTGATTTAATGTAATCACTTATTTTAATTAATTTCATTAAATTTGAATTTTTACAATGAATAAATTTATTAAAATTGGTTTTAAATTTAAACAAATTAAATTCAGTTTTATATTATTTGAGTTCTGAATGAGTCTAATTAAAATAGTTTTTATGAACTTAATTCAACTTGAAAAATTGAGACAAGATAAGTCAAGTCAAAAAAATTTTTAAATATCAACTCAACTTAACTTCAGTTATGTTTAGTAAATAAAGGTGCAATAAATAATTATTTTGATATAATATAAAATATCGTTAATAATAAAATATTATTTTAAAGAAATAATAAAAGAATTATTCTAAAAGAATAATATATCAACATTTTAAAGAAACTATTAAACAATTATTCTAATAGAATGATAAAATGATTATTCTAAAATAATAATAAATCTGATAAAACTATATAAGACTATTTATTTGAATCTTAAAAATAAATAATAAAAGAATTATTATAATAAAATAATAAAATACTATTCTAAAAGAATAATGTATATTGTTCTATTGAAATAGCTTATTTATATTTTTTTAAATAAATTGTTAACTTGTTATTCAATATTAGCTTTGACTTTAGGTTTAATTTTGGTCTCAAGTCAAGCTAAGCTTAATTAAAACTCAACTCAAGTTAAAAAACTCAAAATTCTTTTGATTCAACTTGACTCAATTCATTTAACTCAAAATTTAAAACTCTATATGTTGCAACTGATTTAAATTGAATTAAATTACATTAAACCAGTTTTTATTTCTAGTATTTTAAAATTGAAAAAATATTTTTTACTATAATTTTTTTATAAAGTTTAAAATTAACTTTTTTCAAATAAATATATATTTTAAATAAATTTTATATATAAAAAATTTATAATTTAAAATTATAAAACAAAAATATAATTTATATGAGAAATTTACTAAGTATTACTATTAGTATTCACTACTATAATCATGTGTTTTATATATTTATATTACATATATTATTTGTCACCCCTATATTACACCTCATTATTTTCATTTTTATTATGTATTCTAAAAACTTTGAATTTTTTTACTACTAAAAAATACTAAGATAATAAAATCTTCTGATCACTAGTGATAAATAATAAACTTTTATATATAAATACATTAATTATATCTATTATTAAAAATTGCTTTAATTTTTTATAAATTTTATTTTAACAATTACAAACTATATTTAATATTCTATATATAGTGTTACTAAATAAAAATTTATAAAATACAAATAAAATAAATAATTCCTTAACTTTTTATAAAATAAATTAATATATTAAATAATTAATTTAAATATAATTTAAATTTTTTATTTCAACACTTTTAATATTTAAGGCTTCTATTAAATTAAATATATTAATATTAAGAAATTTAAGTAATTATTAAAATTAATATAATATAATAATTATAAATACTTTAATTAATTTTTAAATTTAAAATATCATTTAATCTTTTAGTAAAATTAAGTAATTGACTAGTATAATATGCTTGTGGATGTGATTTAACAATAATTTTATCATTAATAATATCATTATTTTGTATTTCTTTTAATACCTTATCTGCTTTATAAAAATCTAAAATATCATCTTTTAATTCTTTTTCAAAATTGTTAGAAGTGATATTTTCTATCCAATTTTCAATAATCTTTTTAATTTCTGATGCAGTTGGTCTTTTTAATGGATTCATATCCCAACATTTTTTCATTAAATCCATATAACATTGTGGAATATTTTTAATAATTTCAGGACGTTTACCTTTACAAATATCTAAGCTAAGTTGAAAATCATGAGCTTCATTATCAAATGGAGGAATTCCAGATATTAATTCCCACATAATCATAGAAAAGCTATAAATATCACTAGCTAAAGTATAA